TCCAAAACCAGAACAGTTTGGTCCAATCAGACAGTAGCTGAGTTTCCATTAATAATATTCAGCTACTTTTCTTTTTGCAATTGCAGTATTTGCATTAAATAACAAATACAATACGTTTGTTCACTCGATAACTGAAAATAATGTGGCAGCAGTGCATGGAAACATATATACATATTTCAGCCAATAGAGGGCACCATCCTCCTCCAACTACTTCTGGTCCAGCTGCAGATCACGTGACTCATAGAAAATAAGCTTTCCATGACAGTTTTACAAAGTTCATTTAATACGACCTCATCGTGTCCTCTCCTCCCCCCTTTCTCTCCCTCCCTCTCCTGTCCTCCCCCGTCCTCTCCTCCTGTCCTCCCTCATCCTCCCCCGTCCTCTCCTCCCCTGTCCTCAGGAGCTGTGAAGTACCTGGAGTGTTCTGCTCTGACCCAGCGAGGCCTGAAGACAGTATTTGATGAGGCCATCCGAGCCGTCCTCTGTCCTCCACCTGTGAAGAAGAGGGGGAAAAGATGCACCATGTTCTGAGGAAGACACACTGCTACAGCACCACCACCACCATCATCATCCTCATCCTTTTTTTGACAGACAGAGCTGCTGACAGCCAGTGATGTTCATTGTCTCCTGTAGTGTTTTGTATTTTTCAGGAACCATCCTGGTTCTTTCACCGTCCCTGAGGGAAATGGTCGGTTCTCTGATTGTCCATCTGCTCAGAGAGGAAGACTGCAGCTTCTAGAAGCTCATCTCTATTCTGCCCTCATGCTTAACGAAGGCCGTGAAGGTCGATTGTTGAAGTATTCAGTTCTCCTCAGCTCCTCTCTGACATCACAGGTTCCTCCTCAGGACCTCCAGGTGCTGCTAGTTAGCTTCTTCTCTGCTCCACATGGACATCATGTGCTTCATGGACCATCAGGCAGATGATTACTGAGCGTTTCGCTTAGATATGCAGCTTAGATCCGTCCACCGTTAAACTCCTTGCAGGAACCTGATCTCAGAAAAGAGTCTGAGGGAAACTTCAGGAGATGAGAGACCATCAGGTTTCTGCTTCTTCCACTCTGAGCGATCCGTGTTTGGGTCAGAGGATCTAGGCTCCTTTGGAATACCAACCATCACTGGGTCTGTCCTGGTCCAGGACTCATCCAGGGACTTGTTTGGTCCATTTCCCTTCTCAGTGGACGAGTGTCAGACAAGATCTGCCTTCAGAGAGGGAGGAGCTGCATCATCATCATCATCACCATCATCACTTCTACTGGGGGGGGGTCACAGGCTTGTAAATAGAAGCTGGTTCTCGTGTGTCAAAAGGCTGGTGTCGTCTCCGGAGGACGACCACAGGTGATGTTATTGTTTGAAGACAAGATTTTAGTGTCCAGTTTTTGGTACTGGTTCATATTGTAGTGATTCACAGGACAGAGACAGACAGGGGGACAGAGAGACAAGGGGGACAGAGAGAGACGGGGGGACAGAGAGA